CATCCACTGTGTCAAGCACATTTGTACATATGTAATTTTACTTTCTAAACCATCACAGCAAGAAACGGAAGCAGAATTTCAAATAGATTCTGTTATATCCACAGTACTTCATATTACTTCAGCACAAGTATTATTACTTTAGCACAAGGATTCATATCCATCAAACTCAAACATTCAATGGAAGAAGTCTCTTCTGATTCGTTACATGGTAAAAAGGAAGTTAATATTGGAATTGTCTTTAGGGGTTCACAAATCCTTTTTCTTTTTACCTTCTGCAAGCTTTTGGTTTTGTGCTCCATTTAGATGTTGCCTGGATAAAAACTATGGCAAGTTTAAAATTTAGTTATACCATAGCACATAAGTGGAATATTGAAAATACATAAAACTTATTAAATAAAATTTACATTCAAATTTGGATACTACTACAAAATTTTATATTTGAAAATTGTCAAGTTAAAACAATGGATGTGGAACATCTAATTTTGTTCTTTAGGTCTAAACCCAAGAAAGTGTACTTCCAAAGCAGTTGGACATAATTAATCTGTTGTTAGTTGACAGGCACTTTGAGGATCTCCACATCTGGAAATGGTACTCGAAAGCTTGCCCACTTACATTCTGTCCTTTGATGCTGCATCTTCAGACTACTCTTGATACACAACGGGGTGAAAGTGATCCCAGAGAATAGGATACAAATATAAGAGGATGCTCAATCTGAAGACATGTTTTGGCTTGTTTTGAGGAGGACAGAGCCAAATATGGCATAAGTCTTATGAATATAGTATTGCTGGCACATTCTCATGTGGTCGACAATAGAGAACTGAGTATCAGATTACACCTAATTAGTCCGAGGTGAAAAGGAAAATATAATTGTTACTGTATACAGAATTTATAGACTGTTTCTCTGCCTCACATAGACTGCTACTTTTATCACTGTTTCCCACAGCACACTCTGTGTTTTAGCTGGGTTCACATTGCAATGCTACACAGAACTCATAGACCATACTCTCTATTACGGGGTTTGTTAGAGAAGTTAACAGGCTACAATTCAGGTGAGAACTCCTCAGGACAGTTTCTTCTCTGCTGTGACCACAGGCAGGCCCCTCTCTGGCCTTGGTCTTTGCCCAGTTCTGGCAGAATTATAATCTCAGCCTCTTTTAGGGCTGCCACGGAATGCCTAACGGCCATGCTACCCCAGTGTAAGCCTAGCAGGATGGCAACCAAAATGAATTCAGGTAAATCATACTCATAGTTACACCATACTCCAATCAGTATCTTTCCCACCTTCTTACCTAGACCCATCAGGAAAATGTTCCTTTGGTGGGAGTAACAAAGGCTATGTCTAGGAGAGCCACAGAGGTAGCTCACTACATTGCAAATGTACATTGTATTTCTTTGTGGACTTGTTCAATTCTCCCATTTGGAGATATGTACATAATTCTTGTAGTAACAGTCACACCATTTCTTGATGAGCAAGATTGTTTTGTGAGTCAACAATATTAATTTCCTAAAAGAAAATCCATCTGAATGGAAATGGAAAATAAAAAACATATATAAATAATTGTTATCTGAATATGCATTTATTTCCCAAAGAAATGTTCAATTTCTTTGAATGAAGATAGATAAAATATGAATCTAATGTTCTGATAATCATTCTTTGTGCTTTCTTAGAAGACACATTTAGAAACACACTGCAAAACAGAAACCTATTTTGTATGATAAATACATATTGAACTGCGTATCCACAATGTGCTAAAACAGATTTTTTCCATTCTTTTGGTAGTACATGGTATATTCTATATTCTTTGCAGCAGATTTGGCCAGTGCAACATGTTGCTTGCTTTCCTGATGGCTGCTCCCATGGACATTGCTTGTGAACCAAATAAAATGAAACCCGTGACAACTTTAATCTTTTCTTTGTTTATTGTGATATTGCTTATTGGCCCAGTTTCCCTGTCTGTCAGTTTGTCATACTGTGG